CTGTTAGTTTCCCATCAAGAGAAAAAGGTCCAATTAAAAATTTATCAATTATTCCTGCCCATACGTTTAAACTAAACTTGGTGTTGATGTCTTGGATGCACAATAACGTGTAGGTTTTCTTCATCCCAATTATGATTATTATGAAAAATTGAATATACCATCCCTGGTAAAACTAGCTTAGTAGAGTTTGCTCTGTTTATAAAATTCATTATATCTCATAAACGAAGGCAGATAGGACATATATTTATATGACTTTTTTTCATTATTTTACAATCAGCTCCCGAAGTGGGTCCTACAAGTTACGAAACATTCTGTATATATGTTTATATCTCAGATATAGAAAAAAATAGATACGTGATTCCATCAACTCGGAAAGAACAGAATCGAGTAACAAACAAGGTGGAAAGAAAAGTTTATCCGTGATTATCATAGATGAATTCTACACCTCCGATTTGATGGATAATACGTGTAAAGAACCTGCAGTAAAATTCATCTTAACCTTAAATTTCAAGTAAAAAATTTTTTTTTATTTTGCATTGTATCCTATTCAGGAAGGTAAAACTTTTCCAAGGAATCGTAGGTCGGAATTTGATGGTTCTCTTAGTTATTTAACATTGCTGACGCATGCGTGCCAACAGCGACTTTATGGTTTAGATATGGATTAGATTTCACTAACATTTGATTTATCACAGTTGTGGTTATCGCTGTGAGTCTAAATAATCAAATAATAAAACTAATTATTGTTCAAAATATAACATTATGTAATGTAGACATCCTCATGTCCAGAACCGTAAAGTCGCTGTTAGCACGCACACGTAGTGTTAAACGATTAAGAAACTTTTTTGCCATTTTTCAAGAGAATTATTAGGTTGCGACCTGTGGTAGAGTGCAATGCAAAAAAAAAAAAAAAACAAAAATTTGGAATTCATGGTCAAGATCAATTTTGCAACGGGTTCTTCTTTACACGTAATTCCATCAAATCGAAGGTGTAGAATTTATCTACAATAGCAAACTTTTCTTTCCACCTTATACAATGTGTTGGGAATTGGCAAAAGCTACTCACAATCGGTCATCTTGCCAATTTTGAAACTAACTTTTCAAGTGACGATGTGGCGGACGATCAAGGCGCCAAATCGAAACGACAGCTTCCTCTATCTCTTCTTTCAATTTCAGGTCGCACGTTGGCTCTCATCATCGGGGAACGGCGCGAGAAGAACGAGCAACGCGTCGCTTCTCCACGCTAATCGAACGAACGACACCGAAGCCAGAGATCGCCGCCAGCGAGGGACACTCGCGAACGTGAGCAACTCGGATCCGGCTCGGCTACCGCGTGCCTCTGACTGCTTTGCTCGCGCGATGGGCCCGTTTTCGTCACCGTTGCTGTCGTTGTCTTGGTCATCGTGGTCGTGGTCGTCGTCGTCGTCGTCGTCGTCATCGTCGATCTCGCCGCCGCCGTGATTGCGAGCGAACGCGGTCCGACGAGCTGAAACAAGGAACAGTTTTTTAGTTTCGAAGCTGCGAAATCCTCGGGCAGGCAGGCGGTCGCCCGAATTTTTGAACAAAGCGCCGCACCGTTGGCTGCGCATCATGTTTGGAACGAAATTGCGCACGTGGATGGAAGCACACATCGTGCGATCGAAAAAGAAGAAGGACCGAAAGGGGAAAGGAGAAAAGGGATTCGACTCTAATTCCAATTCTCCTCGGAATCACGGGTCCCACAGGTCTGCCGCGTTGCACCAAGTGAGTGTGCTGCACAAAGGAGGAAACGATGACGCGATGATGGAGGATCTTCACCTCCCTCCGTCGCGTGGATTCGTTTTCTTTTTTCTCCAACAGTTCAATTAGACGAGAGAGCCCTTTTCCTCCTTCTTCTGCTCCTTTTCCTCCTCTTTCGTCCCCAATGAACAGCTCCAAATAGAACAGTTACCGATTCTAGAATTCTGTACTCTAAATTCACCTCGATTCGCACAGGTTCATCCGGTAGATTCGCCATCGAGAAACGTGGACGAGATTCGATTACACGGCGAGGGTGGCAATCGATGCGGTGGTACAGCGACCGCGTCGTCGGGCACGTCCGCGGGAACGGGCAGCGTGAATCTCTCCTCACCGGAAAGCGCCTACAGTACCGGGTACTCGACGGACGGCACATCGCCAGGAACCAGCTATCCACCGGAATATTACATCAACATCAGGACCGGTACCCATTACTTTCAAAGTACCGCCAACGCCAATGCCAACGCCAACGCTGGCATAGCTGCGCTTATCGGTAACTATACTAACAACAACAATAACAATAACAACAACAACAAGAACAAGAACAACAACAGCAGCAGCAAATACAGCAACAATAACAGCAGCAACGCCAGACCGAAGAAAGCGATCGAACCGTCGGGTTTGTCGGTTGCCGCCGCTGCTTCTTTACTCTCTAGACGCGGCAGACATGGAAGGTTCGAGGATAATACCGAACCTTCCGTCTCTGGCTCTAGCAGCGCGTTCTCCTCGGCAACCATAACTATGAGCAACGAGTCGGCGAAAGACGTCGCTCGATCCAACAAATACGGGACCAGTAGCAAGGTACGTACGAGACTAGTTGCCAGAATCGTTCGTCTGCAAAGAAACCACCCGGTGTCGACTATCGTGTATGTGTGTGTCTCTTCTTCCTTTCAGGTGACGACGCGACGGACGTCGCAGAACGAGGCTATCCGCTTCGCCAAACAAATCGGCGGCGATCGTCTGCCGGACGAGGATCCCTCGACGCAGCGAACCTCGGTGCTGTTGAAGGAGAGGCGGGTCGGCTCCTTCTCCGCGGAGTCCTCGAGAAGTAATTTGACGGCGCCGCCGCCACCTTCCTCCATACCGCCGCCCTTGCTCTCACCGACTGTCCAATCGCCACGCGAACGCTCCCGGATTCGCACGAATCCGTGGCTGTCGGCGGCCAACTCCTCCGGCTCGAGCACCACCGGCGGCTTCAAGTCCAGACTGAACCTCGACGACAACGGCAGCGGCTCGGTCCTCAAGCTCGCAGAGTCGTCCGGGAGCGCGAGCGACGTCAACGCGAGCAGCAGCAGCGCGCGAGTGGGACGGGGCAGACGGGAGCTGAAACAGGAGAGCCTCAGTGCCGGAAGGAGTCCGTTAGTAGTATCTCAAATCTGTTACTGTCGTTAGAAAGAAAAGTGTCGGTAATTCCGGAAAAGATGGCATACGTGTACGAACAACGAGCGCGTAGAAAGAAAGAGAAAGCAAGAGAAGACTTCTAAATTACTAGCAGTAGTCAGTCATCTTATGAGCAAGAGAGCAGTAGAGCTGTGAGAAAATGAATCAAATGATAGCTTAATGTAACTTAGAACTATAGAAAGAACAGCACACGCAATAACAACTTCCTAAAGAGAATGGCCCAGGTAGGAAAGAGATGGTAGGAGACGAATAGTGGCAAGAAAGGGAAAAAGCATTTTGCAATAATGGTGCAAAGAGTGAAACCAAAGATGCTGTGCTGGAAAGATAAAGAACTATATTTATATATAAGAGCATTTTCATTTTGATATATATCACATGTTGTTCTATATGGCTTTTCCTTTGTTCTGTTTTTGTTTAGTTTAGTTTAGCAAAATAATTATGGGACGACTAACTTGGTTAAGTATTTTCATAGTTTAATTATTGCCAGAAGTAAGTTGAATGATTTAGTATTGTATTCACTATTTAGTATTAGCTTAATTATGTTTAACGAGAATGGGTGTAGAAAGTAATATGTATGGAGAATGAAAAAGAACGGAACCTTTGTAATCCAATTTGCTATCTTCCATCGTGACTCACCACCACTACCACGGTAGTGCCCAGTTAAGCGTCCGTTGTCAGGACCGAGAGTAGACGCTTAAAAGTGGATATATTTATGTATATTTCGAACAATGTTTACAGTTAGTTTTATCATTTGATTATCCAGACTCACACTGATGCTGCAACTGATGGCAAATCAAACGTCAGTGAAGCCTAATCCAAAAGTACAAAGCTTCATTTTTCAAAAGAAATATCCCCCTGTTATTACCACACTGTCGTCTTTTTTTTTTTTTTATCCAAGTCGGAACTTTTGCCCGCAGGATAAACCAAAACTGGAGAATAGCGTCCGGCATGGAGATCCGACCGAAGATAGCCTTGTCGGTGCAACGGCGCAACAGCAGCAGCAGTAACAGCAGCAGCAACAGCAACACCAACAGCGACAGCACCACCAACAGCAGCGGCGACAGCAACGAGGTTAGCAGCGCTGCCAGTAGCAACGGCAACCGGGACGAAAACAGAAACGGGAACGAGAACGAGAACGAGAACGAAAACGAAAACGAAAACGGAAACGGTTCGTCCGTCTCGTCCGTTACGCGGAGCGCCAGATCGTCCGAGGACGACATCACCCTGAACGAAATGATGGGCAAGTTCGACGAGAGTTACATTTACGAGAAAGAGACGGACATCTTGTCGGACAGTGATCCGACCGATTGCGAGGACTACATCGAGTCCCTGTCGGATCTGGACGGGCCCCGAGACGCTGGCGACGAGAACGATCCGCTCGACAACGACGACTTCGACTACATCGACAACGGCTCGTTTCTCGATCTCGCCGACAACCTCGACTGCTCCGGACGCTTTGCCAACACAGGCCACTGCACTTACTTCGCGTTTGCCGGCGAACTCGCTCGACGGAGCAGCAAGCTGCGAGAGTCGCTGATGAAACGGAGGAGCAGGGACGACGCGGCGGCCACAGCCACCACCACGACCACGGCGATGCTTCAAAGGTACGATAGAGAAAGGTGTGTTCCTCTTCCACTCTCTCGTTTTCTCTCGTTTTCGCAGAACGATCAGCACGAAAAATGGGCATACGACGAGGAAGCAGATGACGCGGCACAGGAAGCAACAAACGGATGAGAAACAGTCGAGCGAGAAACGGAAGAAACGATCCTCGCAGCGTAGAAAGTCGAATTTCAACAAACGCGATCTGAACGGTAGTCTGGCCGGAGTGGGCAGTTGCAGCAACGATTACAACGGTGGCGACGACGAAATAACGGCCAATTTGAATCGCGTGCTGGTCGAGAGGATGCTGCTGAAAAACTCGGGCTTCAATCAGGGTAGCAGAAGCGTCGGCGGTACACCGATCTGCCTGCGTCGCAAGAAACACGACGTGAACAAAAATTTGTCACCGTTGCGGTCGAACGACGAAAGATCGACCGCTGTCCGACTCGTTGCCGGTGATCCCGACATCGTCAAGAGGCGTTCCAACTCGGTACGCCCGTCGTAATCTAATTTCTACTTATTTTCACTTGTGTACCTTATTGTCACCGGTGCCATCTGTACCTGAGGTTGGTTCTTTTTCTTTCTTCGGTCCGCAGGTGAGCTACGTGAACGGAAACCTCGTCAGACGGCGGATAACCGCCACCGACAGCAACACCTACATGACAACGTTCGCTTCCGAGATCGCCCTGATCGAGGCCGACAAGGAAGCGGACAAAAAGTACCGAGAGCTGATTCTCGAGGCAGAGAACATTCTAGTGAACATGCAGAAGAACCAAGCCAGCCTGTCCGTCGTACCGTCGCCATCGCGAAAGTTACACAACGGACTGGCGAACAAGCGCGTCGAGCTCATCAAGAACACCGAGTTGAACATCGAGCTGGCCCTCTCCAGAAGTAGGAACTCCCAGCCAGAATTGCAGAGCGGCAGCATCAAGGATCTCGAGCACACCAGTCCCAAGAGGCAACAGTTTGTTCAACAACCTTGTTCCCCGATGAGGCGATTCGTCGAGCGAAACGCTTCCTCGCCGGTAGCCGGCGCAGCAGCAGCAGCAGCCACGTTTCAATCGGGTGGTTCGACCAAGTGCTGCGTCGACTCTCCTCTCGTCTCGAGAAGGGCGACGGCGATGGCGGCAATAACGAACCAGCAGCAGCACTCGCCGGACAGAAGCTTCCTTCTTCGTGCTCGGTCGAGAGCTTACGAGAATCAAGATTCCGACGATTACGACGGACGGCGAATAACTCCGACAGTGGCAACGTCGACCGCGTCGATCAACGCGCCATCGGCGGTGGCGATGTTCAATTGCAACGGTATCATCCTCGGTTCGAACGCGAACCGATGCAGCACCGCCCGTTCCCAAACCTCCACCTACCTCGTCGACGAGTCTTGCGCAACAGCCATCTCGTCGCGCAGAGATTCTCTCGCCGGGGTAAATCGGAAAGAATTTCGCGGCACGAGGTCATCGTCCAACGCTATTGTGACCAAGGAGGAGACGGTGACGTCAAGTTCCTCGGACTCGGAGGAAAGACTGGACGTTGGAAGACGAGCGCCGCTGATGACTTTCAGGTTAGCGTAACGATAATACTACCTTCTGCTTGGCACAGCCGCGTTCATCAGTTTCGTTACTAGCGTCAGATCGGCTTCTCTTTTCTTATCTTTGCCAGGTCGGTCGACATGGGTCCCATAAAAGAAGGGTCCTCCTACTGTCCGCAAAGCGAGCCGGTCAAGAGGAAAGTGTACGCAGGCAGCGCGACCTACGACAAGATACAAAAAACTTTAGGGGAGCACGTCGTTTTGAGAAACTCGGACGGGGACACCACCACTGACGATACCGGTAAGTCGAATTTTCGGTAAGACGAATCGTAAAATGTTTAAAAAAAGGCCAGTTTAAAAAAAAAGTATCGCTTTTTATCGATAGACGACTCGAGAAGATCCCTGAAAGAGAAAGTGGCCAAGCTGCGGCAAGAACGGCTGGCCGCAAACACGTGCGTAAATGCTCAAGACTCGCACGTGTTCCAACACCAGCTGACCCAGCTGCGGCGACAAATGCTGATGCAAACGATCGAAGGCCTGAAGCGAAGTCTCGAGGATCAGTCGGCAACTTTGAAGCAAACGTGCTTGGAACCGGTAATGACCGATCGATTGCCATGAATCGATCGCAACGTTTGAAAGAACCGACACTCCCTCCTCCTCGTAGAATCGGCTCGCGTTTGGCAAATCTCTGGCAGGTTACGTCGCTCTGGTAGGATCCACGATAATGACGACGACGACTATGACTACGACGACGACGATTCGCGTATAAAACGTCAATCGTGCGAGCGACGATCCAACTACACGTGCCACACGCGTTACACACTTTTTCTCCGTGTAACGTTCTACCGAATTATATAACATGTGATGCTCACGAAGCGTGTCGAGCTCTACCGTGAAACCACGATAATAATCGACGCGTTCTAGCCGAATTTCTATCTACCTAATCGTTTAGAAGGGAATCGATCTATTTTTCTGCCTGTTTACTAAACGGTAAGAGAATCAAAATTAAGGATACACACGTATTTTCTGGCGAGTGTTCTCGCATTTTTTGCTCGACGCTTTAAAACGATTACGCCGCCGCGGCTGTACGTGATTCCTTTGAACTCTTTTACGAACGATCGAGCCAAGTGAAACCGATGAATCTCTTCTTTTTTCTATTTGGTTTTGTTCGTCGTGGCTCGCGACATACTGTTAGAACGTACGACGGTCAAACAATCTTTTTTTTTTTTTTTTTTTTTTCATGTCTTTTGTTCCGTTTTCTATTTTTCTTTACAACAGCCAACAATCACAAACGACTCACGTACCTTCACGGGCCTACTCGCAGACTAATTCTCACGTCGACGGTACACGCCGTTATCCCAATTGTCTCTCTTACGTATACGTATGTTAACTCGTGATGTTCCTATTTATACTTCCGAAGGAAAGAAACTGTCAATGTAACAACGGACTAAGAGCAAAGTTGTCGTCGATTCTGTCGGTTCTGTCGGAAATAAACGTTTCCCCGTTAGTATACCAAAGATAATAATCTAGCACGGTAGTATAGAACAGTTTAGTTGATGATAGCATCATGTGCTATATTAGACGTTCGTAATATTAGCAAACTACTACTAGAATGTTTTTCTCTCAGTTTCGTAGAGAAATGATATTGCATCGCGTGGAGAAATCATCAAGAGATCTTCCAACATCGTCGGAATCGAATTCCTACCGTCAACGACGAGGCCTTTGTTTTTTTCTTCATTCTTAAGATTCTCTGCCTTCTCTCTCTCTCCCTCCCTATTTTGTCTTCTACATTTCTCTCTTTTTCTTTCTTTCTTTCTACCTTTCTTTCTCTTTCACTTTAACTCGACGTCGACGGTATTCCTCTGACGATCTAGTAGAGAAAAAAAAAAGTTTTTAGTCACGGTGATATTTTTGTGAGAATAGACTGATAGCGTTACCGATTACATATTATATCTTTAGGCTTAAGCGTTCGATTTCTTTGTGATTTATATATACATTTCGTTTTCTCTCTGGGAAAGAGACGATAATTCGTAATACGCACACGATATTTATGTTTGTGTTAGATATGCTAGAGACCATAGAAAAAGAAATGTTAGAAAACGCAATAGTAGTAGCAAAAACTAGTACGCTAGTTAGTTAGTCAGTTATCGACTATAATATGTCATAATATCGTTCTTTTTTTAATTCTCTCGCGTGATTTATTCCCCCATTTCGTTGGGAACTGTGATTGCAACTTACTTAGCCACTTTTAAAGCTGTCACCATAAAACGTGAAATGTTTGCTAGTTTCACGGCGAATCACGGTCAACTCAGGTCAATTTATTCATAACTTTTGTACCCAATACGTGATGTGTATATCTATACACTCATATGCATTGGCATATGTACGTACATGTATGTACAATTCTTCATTTGAGAAAGATTTAAATTTTTCTTTTTTACTCGAGTATAAATGTTTGTGGTTATCAATCGTCATCACTGTGACCACTATCACCATTGCTAACATCGCTATTATTATCCTTATTCTTATCATTACATTATCATTGTAACTACAAGTTTCTTACGTGGAAATTCGTTCAGTTCTGAATCAGCATAAACAAGATTTTAAAAGAATTTTCAAACTATCGTTGTTAAGTGCAGCAACTTAATGTATCGCTATTGCTATCGTCATCATCATCATCATCATCATCATCATTATATTGCTGTTATATTATTATTATTGTTTTTATGGTTTTCATTATTTTGCCTGCTTAAATTGACTGAAACATTCCGAAGGTACACACACTAAAGAACAAGTTCCAATTACCAGTCATAGTTGACTTGTCTCGTTCAGTCTTTTACGGCATAGTGATTGGTTACGAATAAAATTCTCAACCTTTCCCCTGCTAACGCGCAATGCTAGTCATCCAATTACTCGTGCAGGGCAACTTTCAACCAACTTGGAAGAGATATAAAATTATTGTTGCAAATCGCCTCTGTACTAAACCATTTACAAAATTAAATGGTCTTTTTTTATATGATTATGAATAAATTATATTACGTCGTTGGAAACGTGCATTCATTTATATTGGTTTTCTTTCCTATGTGGCGATTTTACGACGTAAAATTGATAACTACGATAGATCGAGTTACAGCCAAATAAACAGTCGTATAACCATCGAATATTTATCGCAATTTTGCATTCTAAACATGTACATCTACATATAACGTGTGTAGTTGCTTTTTTACGGTGAGTATGATATGCGTATACATGAACGTAGTGTAAATCATATTCCACATTTCCATTAGTAGTTCTTTATTACCTAGATTAGAAAATTACAAATTTCAAATCAAATAGATATATGTATATATATATATGTGTGTGTGTGTGTAGATACCTTTAAATACCTTATATATGTATTAACGCTTACGTACGCACAATGCCCGCGCAGATTATACATCTAGCTAGTATATGTACATTGAAACAGCTTAGTACTGGACAAGCAAGCAAAAAAGAAAGGAAAACCAAACGAAATAATCTTTCGCGTCCATCTTTGAAAAATTTACGTTGAATTCAGGTTACTTCTACGTTTTCGTCGAATATTCCATCACGCGTGCGGTGACACACTGCAGCAAAAACTTAAAAATTTGTTACTTAACTCTCTCAAACTTGTGCTCGATTTCGTAAATCCCAACAGGTTCTTTAATCTTATCGCAATAGTCGGCCCATTCTCCGTCGCTTAAATCTACGTCAGTGAACTCCTTCCCGCCGTTTATCGTTTTAGCGATCCATCCCTCTCTTGCCGAGAAATCGTTAGGCTCGAGACCTCGACAATCAAATATCGCTATCGTCTGAAACTTGTTCTGATCGTTCGTGAGAAACGATTTGACGGAATCCTCCAAGATGGTCGTGGAATTTTCGCGGGAACAGAGTTTGCACTTGCTCGCGAAGTGACTCACTGCGTTCCCCCTTTGAGCTGGAATGGACTCGCTCAATGACACGTAATTCCATTTCTCCGATGTTTCGCCACAGTTGCAGCAAGTAAACTTCAGATACCATCTGAACTCTCTTCCCGACGGTTTCAGTTCTTCGATATTTTCCAACGTAGCTTTCACTTGTAATGCTATTTTTACCATTCTGGCAAGATTTCTTTTTCTCTTTTCCTCTTTTACACGGCAAATTCTCACGTTCCTCGGGTACAACGTTTTTACGTTAAATACAGATTGAGGTTATGTTACAAACAAACGACTCGTAAACGCATAAACGATACTCTTCCTGAAATTAACAACACGTTGATACTTTCGCGCAAATTACGTCGTTTCTTGTTACGATCAATTCTGAGTAATCCTGAAGGACCACTTTTAAACCATCTATCGTATCGCAGACGTATCATAAACAGTCGAGCAAAGCAAAATTTGAATGGCGCAGCGTGTGTGCGCATGAGTACAATACCTGTTGATAATGTAGAAAATGATTTAGCAAATATTCTACAGTTTCAGTTTTTCATCTACATACAATCATACATTTGAAAGATACGAACCGATACTTTGGTAATGGTGTGATACAAAATTGTTGTGCTGTGAACACGTTGTTCGTGTTCTTGGCTATCTTATATATATATATATATATATATATATATGAGTAGCGGACAAGAGAAACAAGCATGAAACGAACAGCTCGTCTTTTTGCAGTTTGCTTTTACATTCTAGCCACGTACTCGAAGGCTGAAGATATTTTAGGTTGTGGCGGATTTTTGAAAAGTCATGCTGATATCGATTTTGCTAAAGTACAAATAAAATTGTGAGTAATTCGATTGAGTTCGATTCCTGGCCTGAGAAGAATATCACTCGCAAGTGACAATAAATAACAACTTCAACTTTTAATCTATTTAGATACACGAAAGCTGGTAGTCTTAAGGATTCTACAGAGTGTGCACCTAACAATGGATATTATTTCCTTCCTTTATATGACAAGGGAGAATATGTTTTGAAGGTAAGACAGAATAATGCAGCAAAGCCTCATGACACTTTGTTTAGTACATTTTATTCAACTAAATACAGCTAAAGTTAAATGTAATTTTGAATATCACTTTTATGTTTTAACGTATGTGTATTCATTTAGGTAGATCCACCTAGAGGATGGAGTTTTGAACCTACAGAAATCTTGTTGTTTGTAGATGGAACTATAGATGCCTGCAGTCAGGGCAAAGACATTAACTTTACCTTTAAAGGTTTTGGTATCACAGGAAAGGTAAACTATCTATTGGAAATTGTACATTTAATACAAAGTTCAAGGTGTTGGAGCAATAAAAATCATTCTATTGTAAGTAACATTGTTAAAAGATATAATATTTAGGTTACCAGTTTAGGATTGGATTCTGGCCCTAAAGGTGTTACAGTGTCACTATACAAAGAAAGCAATGAACAAGTTCCTGTTGGTACAACCATCACAACGGAAGGTGGAATATTTTATTTCACTCCAATACAACCTGGACAATATGTACTTGTTGCATCTCATCCCACGTGAGTGTCAGTCATCAAATTTGATTTTATTACGTCATAAGACCTGCAACATTGCGTTTTTCTATATTACAGATGGATGTTAAAAACAAATACTGTGAAAGTAATTGTACAAGAAGGCAATACCGAACTTCCTGATGGTAGTTTAGTAATTTATGGCTATGACGTGAGCGGTCGAGTTACCAGCGAAGAAGAAGCAGTTAGCGGCGTAACATTTGTATTATTTGGCGTAAGAGTTCCCTTTGTTTCAAATATTTTCACACGTGTTACAAAAGTGAAATCTAATGCATCTGTTGCGTTTGCGTAGAACGGTGTAGCTAGAAATTGTGCAACAACACCCATAAGCAAAGATCTCGAGTCTAAAAAGCCACTTTGTCACGTTGTGTCGGACAAAAGTGGTAAATTCGTGTTTCCAAGTTTATCACCTGGCGAATATAAACTTGTGCCGTATTATGCCGGTGCACAAACTAAATTTGACGTTCAACCGCCTGAGTTGTCGTTCAAAGTGAATCACAGCAGCATTGTGCTACGTCAAGGATTCAAAGTTACCGGTTTCACGGTAAATGGCATCGTTCGTGTTGCCAATGACGGAGATCCTTTGCCAGGAGCAAAAGTTTTACTTTCCCAGAAGCAAGTCGCCATTACGGATGAACACGGAAAATATGTATTGGATAACATGAAAGCCGGTCAATATACCCTCAAAGCTGAAAGCGGTACGTCAAATTTGTTTGATTTGTTCTCCTTAAAATGCAAATTCCATTTCATTCACTTTGCGTTTTACTTTTTTTATGATGCACAGAAAATTTAATGTTCGATGACAAGTTAGTCAAGATTTCACCCAGCTCTCCGGAACTTCCCGTTTTGATACCAGCAGCGTATAAAGTTTGCGGCAAAGTTATTTTATCGATAAAAGGAGGTTTAGACTATCGGAAAGTTTCTATCCAGAATACAGCTGCTACGTTTAGTAAAGAAATCGAGACAGATGCAAAAACAGGCGAATTTTGTATCTATCTGAATCCTGATACGTATCAATTAAGCGTTATCGTTAGCGCCGAAGAAAGAGCAAAAGGTTTACAGTAAGTTTCTTATTGTTTGCTTCTTATTTTTATTCAATTTCATCGTTTTTCGACGATTGGTACGTTTTCAGATTTTTCCCATTGCAACAAACCATCTACGTGTCGTCCCAACCGATACGCAACATTAACTTCCTGCAATTGAAAGCTACATTAACTGGGACGGTAATATGTTTACCAGAAACCGATTGCAGTCAGGCATCCGTAACATTGAAAATGCTGGACGATGTGATAATAAAAACGATTCAAGCAAAAGGTTAGATTTTACTTTGCCTTATAGCTTCTTGAATTCCTCTGTTTTCGAAATACTGCGACAATGAGCACGCGTGAAGAATAAAAGAAAAAAGATTTGTTTCACATTTACTACAAAATAATCAATTTAAACGCATTCTCATTGTCGCGGTTATACCGTGTAACTGATCCATTTGATACTACCGTTTTTTCTGTAAAGTTTTCTTTAATCACGCAGGCGGCCAATACCAATTTACGGACGTATTACCTGGTCACTACGAGATACTAATTGACAACGATGTTTTTTGTTGGGTGAATCCCAGTTACAGAATTTCTGTAACCTCAGAACGATCTGAATTACCGCCGTTCAAGCAAAGTGGATTTTCCGTTACCTTCATATCTTCTCACGACACTACGGTCGAATATTTGAAAGCAAACGAATTGAACAAGCTAACGTTGAACAAAGGAAGTACAAAGCATTGCGTACTCGAGCCTGGAGTCTACACATTCACGCCAAAAAGTTGTCACGTTTACGAGAAATCATCTTTCACTTGGGACACCAATACCGTGTCGCCTATTTTGTTGCATTCTACGGAACACAGCCACGCTGGGAACATTTTAACTCGATCCGCGTTGGATGAAATTAAAGTAAAAATCGAAAATGCGGCAGGTGACGTTACAATGTAAGCGAACACGTACCATACTTCCTTATATTTATTATATTACTCTGCGTTAATGTTTGCATCGTTTCTACTACATAGTCTTGGTCCATTGAAATCAACGCGTGACGAAGACATGTACAAATACAAATTCGAATTTAAGGCAAAGACAGACAACGTTTACACCATAACACCGCTATCGAATATTCTTCTATTTAGTCCGACATCTCTAAAAGTGTTAGGTGTGAACGACTGTCAAGACGACATTGCTACGTTTGTGGGTGATCTGGGAAAGGTGAGTGCCGTAACGCGTAATTGCTCAAAATTTGCTCAAACATGATCACTACATGTAACGATGTGGCGTATATTCACAGATAATTGCTGGTAGAATTAATCCACCATTGGAAGGAGTTACCGTGCAAATATTTGGCAACGAGAAAACGGAACCTATACACACTCTGATCACGCAGAAAGATGGAACGTACAATGTCGGACCTTTGGATGGGAAAGTAGAATACAGGTATCCACGCGTCACCCCTTATCGTTTTCTTTTCTATTCGTTCCATACGTATGTAATCTCTGTTTCTTTTTTTTTTTTTTATTTATCAGTGTTACTGCGGAAAAAGAGGGATTTGTGATCACAGGACCCGATTCCAATGGAGTGTTTGTGGCTCATAAATTAGCCGAAATCATTGTACAGGTGTCCGATCAGGCTGATAACGTGTCTCTGCAGGTACGTACGAGTATCGAATAGTATGAATTGACAATGAGAGAAAGTAGTCGATTAAAGTTAATGATTATATAGGGTGTCTTGCTGTCACTGTCTGGAGGACAAAGTTATCGAAAGAACAGCATTACCGGTGAGGAGGGGAAATTAGTATTCAATTCTTTATCCCCTGGCGAGTATTATTTGAGACCGATGATGAAGGAATACCGTTTCGATCCGCCATCGAAAATGATCAAAGTCGTGGAAGGTGCCACGGTGAAGATAAATTTATTTGGGAAAAGAGTGGCGTTTAGCGCATACGGTTCCGTGACATCGTTAAACGGCGAGCCTGAAGCCGGTTTGCTAGTCGAAGTTCAAGGGCAAGGGGACTGTGATAATCTTCAAGAGGAAGCAACCACGGAGGAGAACGGTAGCTTTCGAATCCGTGGACTTCAACCAACGGTAAGTTCGAACTCTTTGTCTGTCAATTTTTTTTTCTCTTTTCGTTCTCTAATCTCGATTCGTTCTTTTATATTCGTGCAGTGTACCTACGAGTTCCGTCTGAAATCGAACGCCGAGGCTAATGTGCATATTCAACGCACCAGCCCTGTCTCGACGACGGTGCAAACTTCGTCGGACATTCGAGGTCTCCGATTGGTCGCGTTTCACCCGATATCGCGCACCGACGTTTCCGTACACGTCGTGTCCATGCAGCCGGAGCACTACCGCACGTTGAAGGTGAAACTATGCCGGGAAGATACGCCCGATTCACCGATACACACGTCGAAATTAGAGACGCAGCAACTGAGTAAGATTGGCAGCGCCTACAACGCTGGTTTCCTCATGCATTTGCCTCCGTTGCAGGCAGACGGTAAAAAGTATTTCGTGCAGCTGGAATCCTCATTGTCTCACACGTTGCACAAGTATAAAACAATACCGTTCTACTTTGAGGCGAACTCGTCGTTCAAGTACGTAAAATTGACGTTCAACGCGGAACGAAAGATCGACCACAGCGATATGAATCAAACGTCCATAGTCGCGTTACCTTTCATCATGTTTGTCACGGTCGCGTTTTTCAATCGGGAGAAACTGTGGTCGTGGTTGAGCACCTTGATCGAAAAGTGGTCGAAACCGGTGCCGATCTCGAGAACTCCGGTACAAGCTGTCCCTATCGATCCGAGAGCGGACGACATTATAGTCGAGCAAATAATGAACATCAACAAAAGGAAAACCAAGCCACGTAAGACGTAATTTTTTTTTTTTTTTTTTATCATTTTACGATATAGTCAACATCGTGGCAATTAATAGGTAATTAATTCAATACGATTCGGCGCGATCGATTGATCGATTGATCGATCTCGTCGCGTTTTATATTATGTATACTTTACGTACAATTGTGGCGCGACCTAACTTTAGCGAATATCGTTTTACTCGCCGTGCTCACGAAGAAGAAGTGTTCATTGTTGCGTTTTGTGAAGCGTACGTCACTTTCATGGATAACTATATTTTTATTAAATATAATATAGTATAATTTTACCTGATGACGTTCGTCCGAATGATTCACGACGATTACGGAGCAATATATGCCTGGAAAACGGAAGAAGAAAACGTTCTTTTGTGAAAAGACAATCTCTGCATTCTATTCGTAAAAAAACAGTAATGTTTCATTCGACTTACCCAGGGATTGACGTTGTACATGCATTTCATGAACATGAACGATTTCTCGCATTTATTCTCTGAATCTAAAAATGATTGAAACGGTGCGAATGATTTTCTAAAAACGTCTGATTGGGGAGAGCAACGAAACACGCGGCGTCAGTCGGTATAATTTAATCGACGGAATACTTACCGATATGCTTGCAACTGTCGACCATTTCGTTGCCTATCTCCTTGTAAACGTCTGGAATCGCTTTCTTCAGTATGTTGTACTTTATTTTGCCATCCTTGTCCATCTATATTACGTGCAAAACGACAATACTCCTTTATATACAGTGTATACAGAAAACGCGACGTGTGGATTGAATGCGAAGCGCCAACGATCGGACTTTACCATGTGGAATTTTTCAAAGACGCACTTAAAGTAACATTTCAGGCTCTCTTCTTCGGGGAATATTCCGAACTCTGTATCTTCGATCGTCTCTGCGAAAGAAAGTCGTTAGATTAAAAAAAAACGATCTACGAAAAGTTAGGTGGCCGCGTTCTTCATTGGCTCACCAAGGTTCGTTTTAGTCTCGTCCATACACTTTTTCCTAAATTTCGTCAGCATTGCCCTAATGTCGTCGATGTCCATCTTGTTTGTAGAATATCATCGATTAGTAATAAATTTACGCGAGAGATCGGACATATTCAGATCCAATGCTTACCCCTCCGTGAACGAAAACGAGTTGCAGCGATAGAGAACAAATCAAGATCACGAAAATTCCCGCGGATCTCATCGTTCTGGCGAGTTTGCTATCGTCGATGAGAGAAGTGAAAAGAAAGATTCGATCGCCTACGAAAATACTAGCCGACTGTATATCGATTGCCACCGATTTCCAGTATTTATAGACGTTTTACACCTTGGTCGGCAACCAATAATCAACCAATTATACTGGCATAATTTTCAAACCCCGGCGCAATTCGATCTTACGCGGCAAATAAACGCCAGGGACCGCCTCTTCCTTGATCGGCCGATTTTCTCTAATGACAACTTTTAAGGCCCATAAGGAGAAGTTAAACGCCAACGAAAACACGAAGTTGACGTAAATACAGCCCTGTAAACGTAAATTGCGACAAACGGGCAATTATCGAGCTCGATAGCCGGACAACAAAATACAGAGTAACGCAAAATTAACGCTCGAACATATTCCCCCCAAACGACTCTAATTACAACGGACTTCCTCTTGTTTCGACGAATGTATCAAGATCGAGCGAAGCAAACGCGTATCTCGCTTCCGATATGAGGGAGACGCGGCGAGAACGATGTGCTTCGAGCACTGCGTTGGATGTTTGTTTGATCCGAAATAGAAAATTGGATCAACATGTACATGTATGGTGTGTATATATATATATATATATATATATATATATATATATATATATATATATATGTATATTCGAACGAAGCGTACTTCGTTCGCAAGCCTCCTTCCATTTCTATCACGCGCATTTAATCGCGACCTCAATTGACAATTGGATCGTCCGAGCATCGGAAGTGACGATCAACTGGACCGTTTGAAGGATCGTACAAGTTTCTCATGTCGTTGTTCCCGATGCCTTCGAGAGAAAAAACGTGAACAGACACAAGAGGATAGAAGTATACTACATGTTACATCGAAATGGTCGATGCTAGGAAACGGTAAGACAAAAGTAACGTGAAAGGCCAGTGTCCTGAATGTTTCTTTTTTATTAACCAGTTTCGTACAGAGTGCGGTCTATGTTTGAACGGGTACGATTCCGTTACATGATAAAGCGAGACACGGTCCAACCCCAGCTTCGTCTCATCTTCGATTCAAATGAAACTCGGTTAAAATAGATAGTACGTCTGAAACACAGGTGAAAGAGGTCAGCAACATTAGAATGACAAGGGTCAGTCCCCGGGATAGTTCGGCCAATGTTAATTAATCTTTGCACTCGACTTTTCCCCCCTGTAAGGGGACATCATACTTAAATTTAGCCAACAGCCAAAAATATAAAATTTCTTATGTATAACGACGTAACAAGAATAATAAAATTTCAAAAGATAATTTGGCCAATGTTAATATTTTATTAATCTTTGCACTTAACTGTCCCCCTGCAAGGGGACATCATACTTAAATTTAGCCAACAGCCAAAATTATAAAATTTCTTATCTATAACGATGTAACAAGAATAATAAAATTTCAAAAGATAGTTTAACCAATGTTAATATTTTATTAATCTTTGCATTTAACTGTCCCACTGCAAGGGGACATCATACTTAAATTTAGCCAACAGCCAAAATTATAAAATTTCTTATGTATAACGACGTAATAAGAATGATAAAATTTCAAAAGATAGTTTGGCCAATGTTAATATTTTATTAATCTTTGCACTTAACTGTCCTCCTGCAAGGGGACATCATACTTAAATTTAGCCAACAGCCAAAATTATAAAATTTCTTATGTATAACGACGTAACAAGAATGATAAAATTTCAAAAGATAGTTTGGCCAATGTTAATATTTTATTAATCTTTGCACTTAACTGTCCCCCTGCAAGGGGACATCATACTTAAATTTAGCCAACAGTTAAAATTATAAAATTTCTTATGTATAACGACGTAACAAGAATAATAAAATTTCAAAAGATAGTTTGGCCAATGTTAATATTTTATTAATCTTTGCACTTAACTGTCCCCCTGCAAAGGGACATCATACTTAAATGTAGCCAACAGCCAAAATTAAAAATTTCTTACGTATAACAGGAACAATAAAATTTCAAAAGAAAAAAGTTTCTCATAATGGTGATCAAACTATCCCGGACTTACCCTAGATATAACTGTCGTTCGATATAAATGAGAATTACTCACCCGCGGAGATAATTCCGCGTAACATTTATTGAACCTGTACGCGTACTCGCAATTGTCACCTTTAGCTAAAACAACGATCGATTAACGACTGAAATGAAACGTGCTCGGTTCGGATTAATCGTGTGCTGTCGAATTGAAACTTATAGATGAGATGTAGCTGTTGTTCTTTCATGTGACAGGTGGTTTTTAGAAGAAATAAACGGAAAAGGAGGGGGGGGGGGAGCGCAAAGAGATTTCGAAAACGCTCGATCGAACCGTCAGAAAGGAAAATATAGAATATAGAATATAGATACCCAAATATTTACCGATCCCCTTGCACTCGCTGATCGCTTTCTGGACCTCCGCTCTGTAAGCTGGTATTCTTTGGAAAAACGTGAGCATGCCGTTCAAACTGAGTTCCCTCTTGTCATCGACCAGACCGAATTGTTCCCACAGACAGTACATGTAACACTGCGGAAACAAACAGACCATGTTCTTTTTACCCGGCGAGACTGCGAAACGCGACAGAGTGCAAGACGAGAGACGAACTTATTATTTGTTGATATTAATATTACCAATGCATCATTACCTTCAGTTGACGCGTTTCGGGCCACTGACCATTCCTCACCGCCTCTATGTCCACTAGAAAAACAAAACAACAACAGCGATACGTTTGCCGATTACCCATACGATTTTTTTCCGATCTCGACGATTCTACCTGTCGCTACTCCCGTTTGCGTCTGGCAAGCATTCACCACACTAGCCGCTGTTGCGATCATTTCGTCCGAGACGAAACTTGGTCGCGTCTATGGAACATATTTCTCTTATTTGTCGATCACCACGAGCTCGAGTCAGGTCGAAATAATTATCTAATTACTAATCTGCGTCCGTTTTCTCTTTCCCTCTTTCCCTTTCTCTTCTTGCTTACATACACCCTCGGCGAAGGCGCGATGGACGCGCGGTCGCAGTGGCGATCGCGCGCGCATCGCTCTTCCCATTTCTTTCGAATTTCACATGCGAGAGAACAGACTAAACTGCTCCGACGCAACGAGCCGGAAAGAGGATTAGAATGAGAAACTCGGAATACATAGCACGTACGTACCCCGCAGCGAACAATTGGCAACCAAATCCAGCAGACGATCAACAAGCTCAGCAACACCGAGTAATTCATGATTCGCATCTGATGTCGGAACGACGTGCGTACGCGAGTCGAAGTGAAATTGAAAGTTGGATTGATTTCCACTGAACGAGTAGCAGACGTAGTAGATGTGTGACGCGTGAGATCCGAAGGGCGAGAAACGTTCGATAGGACGTGCGATATTGTACAGTGACAATTGATGTTGTACAATTGATGTTGTCGGCGAGCGCGAGGGCGCGACTGAACATCTACGCGCCCGGTGACGACCGATCGACCCATCAAGGGGGAAATCTCTCCCATGTCGCCACCTTCGCTGCGAAATTTAGTTCATACCGTCCGCTCGTTCGATTCTATCCTCCCGTTCCATCGACAGATCTCCTGCCTTTGCCCAGATCATTTCCCCTCCGATCATCGATTGCTATTGATCGCGTGCCCGGTGATCTTCTGTCCTTCGAAACCTTCGGATTTAGATTGAGCCGCCTCTTGGGTCGAAAGGCACGCGGGTGAACGAACCTTTTCACTCGACATATATAGGCCAGAGTGTACGCATAAACGCAGATTTGATTGGCGGATATTACCATTTTGCGATCTGACCCTACGTAATTTCTCTTATCTCCAACACTTACATCCAACCGATTCAAATGCCTCGTTTCGTTCCCATTCATCCTCGTCGTTTACAAATTGCAAAGGAACGAGGCTCATTCACAAGCAAACGCGTCGAACGAGAACCAATTATCAACAAGGAAAACGCATCGTTCATTCAACGCTCCTCCCTTCTCCCGTTGTGAAAATTTCCTTCCCCGATATTATCACTCCTCCTTAACGGCAACAATGAAATTGGAATTGCAAAGATCCGATTTCGTTCTTCAAGTACAGCGTGCACGCGTATCTCGGACATCGGGACAGGAGAGGAGTAGTTTCGTGAAATATTCGCGCCAAAATAACGTGCATCTAACATGTCTACCCAAGGCGCGAATCGTGCGCCGAGTAACACACCGGGGGAAGCAACTCGTGGGTCAATACAATTCCGGCGAAGATTGGCGAGTACACCCGAGCGAAGCCTGCGTTGAACGTCAGTTGCCTTTGAAAATTATTGACCAACGTTCGGCTCGTTCGAATACACGCAAGTCGCAACAAGGACCGGTACATGCGTACGTACACGCGTGCAGTATATATCACACACATCGTCGGTCGTCGAAACAACGAGGTCGTTCCACGAAATTCGTTAACAATGATTTGTTAACTCGACTCGCCCGGCGAAATGTCGCGTTTGTCGCGCGATCAATTTTCTCATTTGACATAACCTTTTCAACGAGCGTCGTACGTACCTTTCCCGCTGCCCGCGAATGCGTGCTCCAATCAGCTGACTTAGTATTGACTTGGAATAAGCACGCACCTCTCTTGCACGCAAAATGACGCGCAGATTTAATTAAATTTGAGAAGGAACAGACCGATTCCGTTCGATCGAGAATTTCTCGGACAGATGAGATTCTGTCGATTTTGCACGAATGAGACGGATTCGAACGGGCTATCGACGGTCGATGACACACACGGTACAGTCCGACCGAATTAATATTGACGACACGCTCGCACGCTCGTGGCAGTTGACGTGAAAATGAACGTCTGGAAGTTTCAGTAGCGAACACCTAGCGAGCTCGGCTATGTCGCATTTCAAGCGTTTCCGCGTGATGAGCGAGCTCTCGAACGGCGATGCTTCGACAGATTTCCGATCGCCGAGGATAAAACGGGGACGAACGAACCTCGACAGACTGTACAGCTGAAGTTGTATTGACCACAGCGAGTTTTCGTCGAGCCAACTGCCTTTCGTCGGCCGAAACCAGGTACACAACGGGCATCGAGAGTGAAAGTACAAAGTGTCGTTGATGTTCTGCGACAACGAGCCGACAACTTCGAACGGAGGAAGATAATTGAGGTAAGTTTCGTCGGCCGAAGTCGAATTCGTTGAACGTTGCAGTTGCACGCGGTCGACGCCAACGCATCTCGATCCGTTTCCAGCACGAGATACGATGCCGAAGACGAGGAAGAAACAATGCCTCCTGAAACGCGTAGCGGAGCTTCGTAGCGGAGCTTCGGCCACGAAATGCGACTGATACGATGCGGAGGTACACGAAATCGGGAGATCGCGCGACAAACGGGAAGGATATACCGCAGGAGCCTAATTAAAATTTTGAAAAACTCTCTGACCGAGCACTGCCATTGTCACGTGATCCCATCCAATTCTTACGTCACTTTTCGCGTGAAGTTTAAAATTTCTCGCGACACCGTCGTCACGTTGTCCTACTGGGGTGAAAACAATTCGGCAACTCGAGGCAAAATGGGAAAAACGAGAGGAGTGCACGAAACAACGCCGGAATTAAGAAATCGAATGGTGGGAATGTACGAAGCTGGCCTGGGCCTGCGAGAAATCGCAGCCGCTGTGAATTGCTCGGTAAGTAATTTTCAAATGCTGTCTGTTACTTTTGATCTTGCACGATTGCACAGATCGTTCATCGTGCTTCATCGTTTCAGCAACGCACAGTAAAGAGATGGTTGAACAGATTCGACAAGGAAGGCACGGTAGAAACTCGGGAACGATGCGGACGTAAGAGGGCCACGACGGCTGAACAAGATGAGGCAATTGTACGACTAGCCACGCAGACACCGATAACAGCAGCAAAAGCTGTACTTCCAGCTTTGGGGCTTACCTGCTCCGTCGACACTATACGCGAGAGATTGCACAAAGCTGGAATTCACAATTGGAGCCCCTCGCGAAAGTACATGCAAAGAATCCCACTTGGGTTAGTTCTTCGATTAGTTGTAGCTACATTTTTTTAAACGCAAATATCTTATTCCCTTTTCGTTTGCCATTCCGTTCGCAGCGAGACAGATGGTGTTGCTATACAGCAACCTGTATGGAGACCTACTGGAACGCAATTAGGGAAAAAAAAGTCTTCCAAAGAATCGAGTAGGAATGAAAAGAATGCCGCTGTAACTAAAAAGAGAAATCCATTGAGGAAAATTAGAGCCAAAGATGTGTACGTTGGAGATGGTGCACCGATAGAAAGTGTAAAGTCCTCTAACGAGCAGCAGGAATTTATGTATCAGCCACAGAATCATTCGCAGTCCCAAGTTAATGAGATACAAACGCCACCTCAACCTTCTTTGCATCCCCAAACAGAATTTGGCGATACCTTGAGTTTAACTCAGGAAACACAACCTATTTATCAACATCCTGGTCTGAATATCTCTCAGAATTGGCCTCTAGACTTAGTGCAAGGAAGTCATCATTTTTCGCAGGTTTGTACGACTTATACGTCTTTGTGTATACGTTCGTTCCATACTTCATTTTTATTTTCCTAAATCTTAGGGTCAACCAAATTCAATATCTCACGAACAAGTAGTTTCCTCTCAACAGCTTCAAGAGTTGCACGCGCAACAAGAACAGCATCACATACAACAAATACCACAAACAATCGCAGATCAGGCTCATAATCTTGATCAACAACAAGGGCAACTTCAAGCAGAAATTCAACAGCAGCAGCAGCAACAGCAACAGCAGCAACAACAACAACAACAGCAGCAGCAGCAGCAGCAACAGCAACAGCAACAGCAGCAACATCGTGATCACTTACATTCTCAATTAGCTGGCCCACAAACCAGTACAAATTTAACTTCTGATAATTCTAATACTCGTGGTCCTCGAGATAATAATCAGTCTTCTAGCATAGAAACTAATCAGAGTAAAGATTCATCGAAAGAAGGTAGTGCGAAAAATGAAGTACGCAGAAAGAAAAAAAAGGGCGGAAAAGCAAAAGGGACATTGGAAACCAGTGTTGAAATTCGAAATCGTATGATTGGCATGTCCGAAGCCGGTTTATCCACATTGTCTATCGCACTTGCAATCGACAGATCGGTAAGAAGAAACATGTTCGTCTTGATGGATTCAAATAATTAAAACCATCTCGAGGGTAGCCGTATACGCAATGCTCGTTATTAAATAGGAACGTACCGTTAAAAGATGGTTAGAACGTTGGCATAAAGAAGGCAACGTACAAACTAAGGAAAGAAAGGGTCGTCGACGAATCACTACTAAAGAACAAGACGAAGCCATTGTTGCTATGGCTACTCAGCAACCGCTAACTGCAGCTAAACACGTTGCGCCTGCCTTGGGTTTAAAATGTAGTGTTGATACAATCAGGGAAAGGCTTCATAAAGCCGGTATACATAGTTGGAAGCTTGGAAAGAAACAGGGGTTAGTATATTAATAGAAAAAGAAAAAAAAAGGAAAAAAGAACAAACGAAAGATTATTCTTTATATTATACTGACTATATATTTATTCGTATCAAGCAATAGTCGACTATTTTTATAGAGAAGGAAATGCTGTGCATACTGTACACCTTTGGCAACCCAGTGGCAATCGGCCGAACAAACCAAAATTACCGGGCGAGAGGAAGAAAAAATCAAGCAGTAATAAAAAACGCGATCAAGCATCAAACCATACGCAGAAACGATTATCTACTAGAAAAAGGAAAACCGAGTCGGCTTCGGTAAAGATGGTTTCACCATCTGCAAACGTAATATCGGAACAAACCACCACTTTATCATTCCATAATCCTGGAACAAGTAAGGTCAACATATCTCAACGTAATATCATAATGTATTATATTTCGTGTGATCGAAATTAATTGATGATTTTAAAAACCACTTCTTAGTGGCAAACTATGTTTCAGGTTCGAATATAATACAACCTATTCACAATATTCCCGCACCTCCTCCTACAATTGTTCAATCTCAATCGCATCCGCCAGCAGGACCTCCACCTCCGCCGGCACCTCAATCGATACAACCAATCAGTTCTATGATGCAACAAAGGCCCGATTGTCGGTTAGCACCAACAATTGTTGCACCTGTATCGGGCCAAGGAAATACCGGAGTTGCCTATCCATCGTGTATGATTGGAAGTAACAGTCATACAGGACACATGGAACAACCAGATCCTTTAAATTATGAACCATACATTTGGAGTTTCTAATCATCAAGTACACAAATAATTCATTAAATCATAAACTTCTAAGTCACTCTTACGACGTTCGAGCTCTCAAGATTTTTTATCACATCTTACGACATTCGAGTCGAAAAACCTGAAATCATCATATTAGGATTGCGTTTATACTATTTATAATAACGACATAGAGCTAATTCGTCGAGCAAGTAAGTCGCTTTCGTGAGGTATTTCAATATTTCTACGATTGCTAAAATCGAAAATAAATTTTGTTGCTCTGTGACAATTGAAACAGTAGGTCCAATTTTAATCAAAAATGTAATTGATTTTTAATGTAACTTTATACTTGCATGCGTTAACTCATTAGAAGTAATTAATTTAATTGTTAATCGATATCGAACAGAATACAAAATATTTTATGAAAATATTTAATTATTTTTCTTCTATTATGTCTTCTACTTATGGAATTATAAATATAATACCGCAAGATACCGATGAAACATTCACTTTCAACACGTAGCAAAATAATTGACATCCATCCTTTAGGTATAAAATAAGTTGACATAAATTTATACGTTGGACGCGAGTGTTACTCTACCCGAAATATAAACTTTTATAAAGTATCTTTCTCAAATTTAAATTGCATTATTAAAACTGTTATTCATTAACCATTATTGTCACATCAATTCTATTGATTTAAACAATTTTTATGTTAAATAAAACCGATTGAATCAATTTAAGTTAACATTAAAACAAAAACACGTCGATATTGTGTAAATATATAATAACGATACACGGATATGAACTTACGTAATTAAACAGATATATTGATAAAAATAAAAGAAAAGTTATACAACGTTTATTTTGTTATACAATGTATTTTATCTTTGAATCGTCATTCACAATGTGGTAATGAAATATGTGAAATAAATGACTTTAAAAGTAGAAAATTTGTATTGTTATTGTTGTTACTATTACTGTTTATACGTTCATTCACATTCAGAGATTTCAGGATCGAAAACAGACGGTCTACAATGTTTAAAATTGTATATTTTCCTACTCTTAGATGTATATCTCTCACGACTATTGAGTCTATTATTATAAAAATTCAACTTAATTCAAAATTAAGTTCAGCATTATTAAACGATATGATTTATCACGTTAGTTGCCATATATGTGATACATTTTTCAACACATCGTCAGGACTGTTTTTATAAAACATAAAGAACCCTTGAATTTGCGCTGGGCTAACCTGTTTCTTTTGCGACATTAAGGATTCTGTGAACTGTTTAGCAAGTTCATTTGCTCTGTCATCGATATTCTTATAGAATCTTAGAAACATTTGTTCCACTTGTTTTGCACTACACCAACCTGAAATAAAGAACATCACTATTTAAATATCATAAGAATTCGATCAATGTTATGTTGTCTGTAAATATAGTAACAACTATAGTAACAAATTATACCCATACCTATATACTCTTTTACATCTACTCTACCAGGCCTAACTAACGCAGGGTCTAATCTTTCTAAATAATTGGTTGTCATGAACAAAATTCGCGCTTCTGTAGAAGCAACGCCATCCAAACAATTTAATAAACCACTAAATGTAACTCTATTTAAACCATCGTATGCAGCTTTAACTGTAACAAAATATACAAAAGAAAATGACGTTTCATTGCAAAGAATTACGCACAATTTTATATCTTTGATTCAGACATATCAATTACTTTCTTTGCTTTCTTCTCGGCTAGCGAAGGCAGCATCAATGTCTTCTAATAGAATAATAGTTTGTTGCGGTGCTACCGCTAATAAGTGATTCAATCTGTCATCTGTTAAACCTCGTTCTGATAAATTTAAAACACATATGCCTAGTTCTAATTCACCAGCTAACGCAGTAATGAACGATGATTTACCACAACCCGGAGGGCCATATAATAAATATCCTCGCCGATACGGAATTCCTATATAATCAAAAATTATCTTTTTATTTTGCACCTTACGACATTCATTCGAACTATCATTTACATACCACGATCGCTATACCACGAAGGATTTGTCATAAATTCACGACAATCACTTATTATCCTTTCCGCAACTCCACAGTCTAAAACTACCGAATTTAGAGGCCTTCGTTTTCTGGGATGTCCAAATTGTCTCCATTCACTTCCCATTGCAGTATACATTATCGTTTTGCCTTCATATTCTTTCAATGCCATTTGCCTGGCTACAAATGAATATGTGTTAGACAATTATCTTTTACACAGTCCACTAACTTCTTACCCTCTTCTAAAATATTAAAATAAATATTTCTATTCCTTCCAAAGGCTGTAAGTTGTACCGTTTCCCATGGTATACCCATCTGTATGTCCAACGTTTGCTGCTCTCTAGTTCGTTCTACCTTTATCCAATTCCCTTCGTATCTGTTTATTTTGAAATTAAACAGGTCATTTGCCACAGAGTTTAATTATCAAAACGCTTAACTTTTGAAACCATTGCAACAATGTATGGTATTTGTCATTGCACAGTAAAATATTGCAGTGATAGGTACAGTTATTTCTAACCTAATAAAATGTGTTCCAATACTCGGTATGAAATCATATCTAGTTTTTATGTGACCTGTTTCTCTTTGCTCAAAACTTGTTTCAACAGACAGATGTTGCGTCTTCCTTGCACCTTTATGTGTAATCCATTGCAACAGCCATTGGTAGCTTTTATCACGGCATGGAACCTCTAAGGTGATCATATAATGTCGTCTGTATTTGTAAAATATTCAGTATCATACGGCACGATGATGATAGTAGAATTCAGATATAAATAATACCTGAACAGTATCATTCCTGCTTGCATTCCTTTTCGTAACAAGGCTGCCCCAGCACCTAACCCAAACAGTCCAAAACCAGCTCCGAAATACGGATTATCGGATAATGTTTGCACGTAATCTATTATCGTCATGATGTAGTTATTATATACAGTTTCTGTCTTAAATGCAGTTAACGTTTAAAATTGTTTCTATCACATACTGTTTCATTCAGCGATGTTTAACCACTTCGCATAGCATGCGCCTCGTTACCTTTCATTTGCATTACGCTTAAAGCCGCGTAGCTCTGTGAGACTGATTCCTCTTGACTTATTTTCGGACGTAATTTCAATACTATAAGTCACAAGAGGAGAAATAGATTTAGGTTGCGTAAGAGAATGTAGGAGATTTGTAAATTATTTTCAAAAGTGCATCAGTAATGTCGCTTTCCAGTTAAAGTTCGCGGGTTATATATTTTCGAAAATAATATAACCTTAAAAGGAATACGCCAGTGATATTTTATAACATCTGTTAACGAACTGGCACATGTCATTTGTACACTTCGTAAATGTATGCCTACGAGTACAATAACGGTAATCGTAGTACATAGGTATAAACGTGTCGAACTCTCTTACTGTACGATATTTACCGGCACGTGCTCTGCATGGATTGGCTATTCTCGTTATCCAATTCTTCTGTAATATGAGTTTCGTAGTAAATTTCAAGGTAGGCAAATTTTATAAATTTTATAATTTAAAAAAATTTCTTTTTGCCATATTACATCATTATGATAATCTGCATCAATTATATCGTTAAGTCTTACTTTTAATCATTCTCGTCGTTTAAATCTGTCTTATCTCGTTTGATAGTTTAACGTCAGTATGAACAGGAGATTGTATCGTTTCCCAGTTATTCTAAAATAATGATAAAAGTATCATTATCGCAATAATGAGTATCGACGTGTAATAAATACGCTTAGGAATTCGGCTAATTTAACGCGTGGCGAATCAAAAGTACGATTTTTTCGCTTCTCTGGAAGTATCATAGCGCGGAAGCATATTTTTCAACCTTTTCGAATCTCACATTTTTATCTTAATTTCGCATTAACAACAATCTTTGCATTATTTACAGATGCGGTTAATTATATTTTTTTACTTTTTGCTACTGTGTGCGATATGCGCTAAAGCAGACAAAAAGGTAAACAAGTATGTGACCACTTTAATAGATGCAAAATGGAAAGAAACACCCTTAGCTTTGGAAGCTGCTGAATATTTGAACGATGAAAATCCAAGTTACTTTTGGAAATTCGTAGATACTTTCGCCAATTACGATTTAAGAAATGGTAATTTTATCTGTGTGTGTTGAGCTTTATTAATTTAACAAACTTTTTAAACAATTGCAATCTCATATTGCTTCCCCCCTTGTAGTTACAGAAAAAGAGAACTATGATGCTGTTATTGCATTTGCTGAAAAATATTTATCCCAGTCGGAGGTAGCATTAATGAAGTTAGGATTGTCTTTGCGAATTTATTCGGCACGAGTGGAAATGTTTACACAGATGGCAGAAAATAAAAATATCTCTGTTTTTGATTGTTATAACGTAGTAAACGTTGGTGGAGTGTTTACCTGTTCTTTGGAAGAATTGGAGGAACTAGCCAGTCAAGTACGTGATACGTATGTATGTGCATGTCAATTAATTTCAATTATATGTATTGCGTTTATTTGACAGGATACTTGGTTACATCCAGATACTTATAGCGTGGATCATCGTTATCACACATCTCAACAGTCAGAAAAAATTATTATATTGTACGGTCAGATAGGAACGCCAAAATTCTCAGATTTTCATAATAAATTAAAAAATCTTGCAGAAACCAAAGGAATTAATTACATTTTGCGACATTATTTAAAGGTATCATAGTTGTACTTAATGTAGTTGTAATAATAAGTTCAAGTTCTTTGACTTTACAAGTTGTAACAAGCTATTTGACTTTATAACAAATTTATTTTAATTATGAATTATACAGGATAGATCAGACAAAAATGTACGTTTGTCAGGATATGGGGTAGAATTGCAGATGAAGTCCACTGAATATAAAGCAACAGATGATTCAGATATCAAAGATAATGCAGGAAAAGATTCAGAGACCACAAATGACAGCATGGAAGAAATAGATGGAATTAATTTTGTAACATTAAAGTAAGGTGGATATATTCTTAATATACATTTAAGTTTTATTTCCATGCTAATGTTAGTTCTAACGAAGCAGTTAGTTCTATATTTATTCTGTTTCATCTTTTTCCCTTTATTTTCTGACTTAATCATTTTAGAAAATTGTTTCCTGACAAGCAGTCAGAGCTGGATAAATTACAAATTCATTTACTTGAAACTAGTCATGAAATTGGTGCTCTAAAAGTGTGGCAATTTCAAGAATTAAGTCATCAAGCAGCTGAAAGAATAATGAATTCTCCCACAAACGAGGCTATTAACATTTTAACAGATATTTCACAAAATTTTCCAATGCAAGTAAATATACTTTTATAGCATTAATGGCCATTTCGTGGGTTTAATTTGTTTTATTTAATATCATTTATTAATGTTAATATTTAATTTGTTTGAAGGCAAAATCACTGATTAGAACAAAAGTGAACAACGAAATGAAGAAAGAAATGAAACTCAATCAAGCGATGTTTTCTACAAGCTTGAATATACAACCCACAGATACAGCGCTTTTTATTAATGGATTATTTTTCGATTTAGAAGCAGTAGATGTTCTCAGTCTCTTAGAATCATTAAGAAGCGAATTAAGAGTAATGGAATCTCTTCGTAAGATCGGTACGAGGAATGCTGTATTATTAGAAATAACTCATTAAATACTCGTTAAATGAACCGTAACAATATCATTTGTAGGATTTAGTAATAAAGAGATGAGTACATTGCTGGCTTTGGACTTATCTACTAACATGGATAAGCAAGAATTTGCAATGGATATAAGAGATTCAGCGATAAACTGGATAAACGACATCGAACAGGATTCAGCTTACGCGAGATGGTCGTCATCGTTAACAGAATTACTAAGACCAACCTTTCCTGGAATGCTTAGAAATATCAGGAGAAATTTATACAATTTGGTTTGTACACGTCATCAACGATCAAAAGTTATTACAATTTGCATAGATACAAATGTATTTAAAACCTATATACTTCAATAGGTATTAATTATCAACCCTCTAAGTGGAGAATCCACTCCTTTGCTAACTTTAGCACAATCTTTATATTTACATTCCGCACCATTAAGAGTAGGTTTCGTTTTTGTAACGAATTACAATACGTCTATAACTGGATTGAGTGATGCTAGTGTCGCCGTTAACAATGCATTTCATTACTTCGTGGAAACTAAAGGATCGGAACATGCTTTGCAATTTCTGATAGACGTAAGGCCTTATGGTATTTGATCATTCATTGTGCAGCCTCATTAATCATGTACATATGGAATGAACAATATTTATAACATATGATATATTGTTTTAGTTAGGAAATTACATTGGGCCAGATGATGCGGACGTAGAGGATGTAAAGAAAGCAATAAAAGTGCAAGATTCATCTGCTAACATAAATTATATCCTTGGTGAAGAATCTGAATATGACGTAGGACGTCATTTAGCTAACGACTTTGTAAAGCGGTCTGGTTTTAAAAAATTCCCGCAAGCTTTGTTAAATGGCGTACCTTTGTCATCTGATCAATTGAATGCCAATTCATTCGAAGAAGCTGTTCTATCTACGATCATGTCGCAAACGCCTTCATTGCAAAAAGCAGTATACCGAGGAGAAATAACCGAAGGAGATGATGTAGTCGATTACATCATGAATCAGCCGAATGTTATGCCTCGGTATGAGATTTTATTAAAAAATTCGCACATACGATCCTTAGAATTTCAGTTCGTTTTAATTCGTCGTACGAATTGTAAAAAGTAATTATATCCATTTAAGCAAAAACAATTGAGAAGTAATTGTCTTTGTTCGCTTGTTACAGCTTAAACGAACGAATATTAAAACCAGAGAAACACACTTGGTTAAATTTAATTGGCAGTATACCAAACGATGAAGATTACACTAAATGGAGTCCCCAAGATTTATCAACCTGGTTGATGAACAAAATGCGTTATATGTATGTACCACGTCGTACAAGTGTGCATCACCTATATACCTTTTGGATTGTAGCAAATTTAAATGATCCGGAAGGCAGACGTTTATTACGTGAGGCACTTGAATACATAGTAAGTGATTTCTCGTGTTTGTTTATATGTATAGTCATGCAATAGAATAAGTAATTAGATTATTTTCATTAATGTTTAAACACAATTGTGATTACGAAATGCCTAATTACGAACGAATAATCGAATGATTCAGGAATCAAATGCAGATGTCAGAATTACTGTAATCGTTAATCCCCTCGTCAATACCAGTGATGATGATGATGATACGATTGACATTAATCAAATAGTTTTAGCTGCGTTACACAGTCTACCGGTAGAGAAGTCTATACGGTTTATTCGTAACATAATTAAGGAAGATGCCGTTGCTAGCGACGACAAAGTTGATGTGGAGGTGATTATTTTCTTTTTACCAAAAAATTTTCCAAATCTAACAGATATTTAACAAGCTGTTGTAAAATTAGGAAGAGGCTGTGAAAGAACGGTTGAAAAATCAAGCCGATGAATTGTTTGTGCATCGTCGATACGTCAAGACGGTACTAAATTTGGAACAAGGAGACAGAGCGATCGTATGCAATGGACGATTAATCGGTCCTTTAGATGAGGGCGAGGAATTTACAAGCGAAGATTTTTCGTTGTTGGAAAGATTCAGTCAAAGTACTTATGACGATAAATTATTCAAGAAATTGATAAAGGGACAATTGTTGGAAAATGACGAGTATGGTATGGAAGTTAATTTGTGGTGCACATACGCATGCAATATAAAATCGTGTACTCTATAGCTTTTTTATGTTATTCTAATGATATAACGTTCTGACGATCATTTGTGCAGAAAGAAGCGAAATCACCGATGATATGATAATGAAAATTACATCCTTGTTAGCATCACATCCTCAGACACGAAGTCGATTTCACGTTCCTTTTCACGGTGATGAATACAGGTGAGTCCGGAAATGATAAAAAAAAGAATACTTTTAACGAGCAAGCCTGAACAATTACATAATTTCTGACGTTTTAATTGTTAATATATCTAGTGCCATAAAGGTTCCAGCGATGAATCCGGACGAAGTGGCATTTAACTTAATCGCTATTGTCGATCCAGTATCTCGCGGCGCTCAAAAATTGGGACCGATTTTGAAGACGCTTCAACAGTCTCTGAACTGTAACGTTAAAGTGTTTTTAAACTGTTTGGACAAAAATAGTGACATGCCATTAAAAAGGTACAACATAGTACTGATTCAATTTCATGCAAAATTAAATTAGTACACTGAATTATACCTGCGTATATTATTTATGTTATTTCAGCTTTTATCGCTTCGTGTTCGAACCTCAGCTACAATTCTCCACTGATGGACGTGTTAATGGTGCTATGGCGAAATTTACAAAATTGCCAACTTCGTCTCTTTTGACGCAATATATTCACGCACCAGAAAATTGGTTAGTGGAAGTAGTCAGGAGCGTTTACGATTTAGACAACATAAAGCTGGACAATGTCGCAATTGGAGTGCACAGGTGAGTGAATCACGCTAAAAGAAAATATATTTAAAATCTATTTATTTGTATATTTACCGTTCGTTGTTGCAGCGAATTCGAATTAGAACATTTGCTACTCGAAGGTCATTGTTTCGAAGCAGTAATCGGAAACCCACCTCGCGGATTACAAATCACACTGGGAACAGAAAAGCAACCGTTAATGGTGGACACTATAGTAATGGCAAACCTGGGATATTTTCAGTTAAAAGCTAACCCAGGCGAATGGGTGTTGCGTCTTCGGCAAGGACGGTCGGCGGAAATCTATGATTTCACAACTATCGGTGGTCAAGATGTTTTGCAGAACGGCAATGACGTGAAAGTTGTGATAAGCTCTTTAAGAAGCCACGTGTTGAAAGTCAAAGTATCCAAAAAGCCGGACAAAATGGGAATGGATCTTCTATCGGAAGACGATAAAAGTTCTGGCTTGTGGAACTCTATCTCTAGGTAAGAAAAAACCTGTACTGTTCGTTTTCCTATAGGTTGTGCCTCGATTACGCCTTTTTGGAATAATTTCAAACTCGCGTTTGCGCTAATCATAGGTAGAAATGTGAAATATTTTTAATACGTCGTTAGGCGAGCCTCCAATTTTAATTTCTATTTATTCTCTCTCTCTTTTTAGCTTTTCCAAATTTTGGTAAGCTTTCAACAACTATTTAAACATTATCGCGCATAACAGCATATCGCATATTGTCCGTAACATATAGAGATACATAATTATTTTATCAACCGTTTTACATTTTAAACGTTTTAACCGTTGTATATTTGAATACAATATTTGCTATACGATCTTTTCATCGCGTTATCTTCCTGAAATTCAACAAAAACACGTTAATCTCTACTTCCATTTCTTAATTTGATTGCTTTCTTCGAAATTAGGACATTTACAACAGCAGAAGACAGCGATGATCAGGATGAAAAATTAAATATCTTCTCTTTAGCCTCTGGACACTTGTACGAAAGATTTTTGAAAATTATGATGTTGAGTGTTATAAAACATACCAAAAGCCCCGTAAAATTTTGGTTCTTGAAGAATTATCTTTCACCAACGCTGAAAGTAAGCGGTTACATTCAACAAAAGCGAAATTGATAAATAAATTAAATGATTATCTATCAATCTAGAATAAGAACTATCGATCAAACTAAATTATTTTTAATTGTAGGACTTCTTACCGCACATGGCAAAAGAATACGGTTTCGAGTATGAATTAGTACAGTACAAATGGCCTCGTTGGCTCCATCAACAGACTGAAAAACAAAGGACCATATGGGGCTACAAGATACTATTTTTAGACGTGTTGTTTCCGTTAAACGTTAAAAAGATAATATTCGTTGATGCTGATCAGGTATAAAAATCATGCACAAGTAACATACCTTTGTATGATTTCACGTTTATATATTGTGATCGTTATTAGGTTGTAAGAGCTGATTTAAAAGAATTAGCGACCATGGATCTCGCCGGCGCACCATATGCATACACTCCATTTTGTGACAGTAGAAAGGAAATGGACGGCTTTAGATTTTGGAAGCAAGGTTACTGGCGAAATCATTTACAGGGACGCTCTTATCATATTAGTGCTCTGTACGTGGTGGATTTGAAGCGATTCCGACGCATTGCAGCCGGAGATCGATTGAGAGGACAGTACCAAGCACTGAGTCAAGATCCTAATAGTTTGGCTAATTTGGACCAAGTTCGTACGATAGCACTGATAGCAATGTTGAATTGATTCGATTAAATAACATGTAATTGTTACAAATAGCGTGTCATTTTAGGATCTTCCCAACAATATGATTCATCAAGTAGCTATCAAAACATTGCCACAGGAGTGGTTATGGTGCGAGACTTGGTGCGACGATGAATCCAAGAGATATGCTAAAACTATAGATCTGGTAAATGGAGTTTATATTATATATTTGTTACATACAGCTGACATTCCAAATTTCAATTTAATTGTAAATCCTTGTATCGCGCAGTGTAACAATCCAATGACGAAAGAGGCTAAATTACAAGCTGCCGTACGTATATTACCGGAATGGATAGGTTACGACGAAGAAATAAAAGCTTTACAGTTGAAGCTAGAAAATGAGAATAGACAAACGGAGAAGGAAGAAAACGGTATCGATTGACAATGATAAGCAACGTTTTACGAACGCTTCCAAATCAATTTTTTTAATCTATTCTTCTTATTCTTTTTGATTTTAGAAACATTCGAAGATATGGAAGCTTTTGCGAAGCACGAAGAACTATAAGCAGAAATGATACAAAGAACGAATTTTCACTTTTTAAAGAGAAGAATTTTATGAAAAATTTTCCAAAACTAAATGAATCGTCTCAATATTCGTAAACACGTTGTTTCGCATGTTTTTTTTAAAGGTAAAAATATTGCAAATTGCAAGACAAAATGAATCGCACCATGGACTGACCGTACTTGAAATTCAGCGAAACATTCAGTCATTTGGAGCTGGATCGTGGTTATCGTAATATTCTAGTAGTTAATTGTAGACTGGGAACTATGTCCGTGCCGATAACATGATTGTGATTTTGTATTGTCTACTTTATAGCTGTAAGAAATAAACTTGTAACGTTTGTAAGGTACTTTTTACATATACACGTTCCTTCGACGAATGAAAATGTCTTCACTTGCACAAGGAAATGATCGATTTCATGTGCGAAATCTTTGACTACTTTTGTCGATACAACATCAATATTGGATCGACTGATTCATAAAGAGAAGATGTAATTTCATTCTGTTTTTCATTTCAACATTCACCAGAATTTTAGCTTTTTATGTACATTTATATTTATAACTATAAAATGTTTGCAATGAAAATATATGTAAGAGGCGGTCGATTGACGAGACAATTAACTTGTCGGGCAAGTGTTCACATTGGGGCTCTTCATTTTCAACGTGAAGGCGAGCCACGGACACGCTCTTCACTTCATTCTTTTTATTTTTGTTATTTTTATAATACATTTTGCATGAATTTCCATTCAACCTTCATGTGAATGGAACTACTCAGATTTTCGTACACAATCCAGATATAATGATTTTTACGAATCATTCGAATCTTCATCATGGTAATGCCATTAAGACAGTAGTTGTACCGTTGCTTTCACATTATTAGTATAGAAACACGTACCGTGGCTTTCGTAATAACGGCTTTTATTTCCGGGTCTTTTCACTTGCGGCAAAAGCCAAGGGATGGGCGAAAAAGAAAGAAAAAAAGAAAGGGAAGGCTAAACGAAGTTTTTATTAGAATTGTACGTACACAGGAATGCATTTTCTTGTTTCCTGTACTTATTTTCTTCTTATTTTAAATACAGCGAAAAATGAAACGCGTGTTACACGGTTGGAATCGAACGAATACTTGACCTTCAGTGTCATTTTCGTTTATTTAAATTTTTGTAAAGATGATTTTGAATTCTAAAAACATTGGACTCCCGCTTTATGTTCGTTTATAGAAGTATAGAAGTAAAATGATCGTTAATTCTCAGACGTCGAGAGGAAAGTCGCAACTTGGACAAATCACAAGTACATATGTTCTTTTAAACCTGCGCCTACGAATCGTTTCGTCGATAGATTTATCGGTGATCGTAATCATTGTAGGTGGTCGAGTGCGTTAGAAAGAAATTAAAAAGCAAATAATTTCTAGGGCAAGGAGAAATCGCGGGACTGTTCTTCATTCGATCCGAGCAAACGATCGATGACCGAGGTCGGCCTGAGCGAAACGATCGATCGAAAGATCATGTCGGTAATAGCAGAAACTACGAAGGGCTATAATCGTCCATTATAGCGATTACGAACGATCAACGCAACGCCAGGAAATAACAGAAACAACAGAACCGAAACGCGATTCATGAAGCTATCTTGTGCGAAGCGCGACAAAGACAGTGAATGACAAACAGATAGGAAATTTGAAAGGCAGAAACAGATAGAGGAAACGAAAAGGAAGGTAGGGGGAGAAATGGGGGGCAATGAGACAGGGGGAGGAGTGCAAAGAGAGGAAGGAAATCGGTAGAGAGCGATTTTGAAGCAGAGAGAGAGAGGGAGAGAGGAGTGGGGGGAGAGAATAGAGAAGGACAAGGCGAGGAAAGGAGCGAGAGGGAAAGAGATGGAAAGACGAGAAGAAACTGATCGAGAGTTAAGCTATCTGGTAAAACAAACGGACGAGACCGGACAGTGGGTTTCCTGCTAAAAGACGGAATGAAGTGGCAAACGGTTTGCGTTGTTGGTGTAACTGGTGACACGCGTCGAATTCATTCACGTTTTTCCGATTGGCCGATGATCTAACACATTTGACGACGTTCGGTTATACTCGTGTCGCGCCTTCTGTTCGCCTTGATTTGCTTTATCTTGTCTTGTCTTGCCCTGTCTCACTTCGCCTCACCTAGCCTTGCATCGCATCGCTCCGCCGTTTTCACTGCATCGCGTCGCGTTGCGCCGCGCCGCGATCACGCGTCTTCGTTTCCTCCCCTTTCGCTTTTCTACACCTTATTTTTCGATCGATCTATCAAACGGTGGATTGATTTGATTGCTCGTTGCACATTACGATCAGCGCTACTCGCACGTACACGCAACCGTCCTGCACGAGGATCATGGATGACGAAAGGATCAAGCTGTGAGTTCGAACACGTCCTTTCGAATTCGATCGGATCGAATCGGATCGGTTTGGATCGGATCGAGCTCTTCTCCCCACTTTCTCCCCACCTAGTAAATTCAGCGGGTCTCGTCGCGTCGCATACACCGTGCTACGTTTGTTCGATCGTTTTTGTAGAGATCGTTATCATCTCTCGGTTCACGATTTTTATCGCAAATATGTTTCGTTGAAGAAACGGTAACAAAGCTGGTACTTGCATCAGTAACTTGTCAGATGTTTTTTTTTTTTTTTTACTTAATCTGTCGACCATTCTCAACCATTCTATCGTTAGGAAAAATATTCGATCTGTCTGTCGCACGCTTTCACGAAATTCTGCCATCAAACTCGTACAATTTCCTCTTATTTCCGAGTAATTATTCGATTTTCTTTTTACTCTTTCTCTTATATTATTTCTAGATGCTCGTATCCTTAGTGACGAAATAAAACTTAAGATCTTAACGGCCATGATACTAATAAATAAGTATTACTTATATAAGGGTGGAAGTGAATGGGTTTTTGTTCAAGATCTATCGCAATAAATATCGATTCTGAGGCGAAATAAAATTTAAAGACATTTACATTTAACTGCTATCGATTATCTTACGTTTAAGTGCGTTCATAATTTGATTTCACATTCACATCTCTTACTGTCGTATGCAAGATACCAAAACTTGGAGTTAATTGGAAAATCAAATACACAAGTAAACAGACGTATGTTCTTACATAAAAATTTTACTGTTGTAGCTAATTAATACTTGTTCTTTCTAGCTTTCTATCATTAGTTGTTACTCAAAAATGCATTACGTGTGAACAAATTATGCAATTGTACGATGTATATGACCATTTTGGATACCACGTGTGTTTACATATTTTATTATTCCGATTATCCGATACATTTGATTTGGATGATTTTGCACACGGTATTATTGTCGACAAGAGATATCGAGAGAAGCGAAAAGTAATGTCGTTCGTTTTTTATGTCATTTTGAAATCAATTGTCGTGCAACTACGTCGATTAAATATGTTAATTGTTGATATTATTTTGAAGCTCTGTTCATACTGTTACTTTTTTTAATTTCACTTTTTTTTTATTTTTGCAGATAGTGAAAATGTTAAGGCCAAAGATCGGAGAGGTGCAGTTGCGGTGTATTTTATTATTTTTGTTTGATGAGGGATTAAAGCCGAAAGAAGCTGCAAAAAAATGTTAATGAAACTTACGGCGAAATCTTGAATATCCGTAAATGCCAACGGTGGTTCAAATAATTTTAAAAGCTTCTTTTGTAGCTTTAATCCTTTATCGAACAAAAATAACAAAATACACCCCAACTGTACCTCTTCGATCTTTGACCTTGATGTTTTTACTATCTGTAAAAATGAAAAAAAAAAAAAAAAAAAAAATGAAATGAAAACAATAACAGTATGAACAGAGTTTCAAAATAATATCAACAATTAACGTATTTCGGCACGACAATTGGTTTCAAAATGAGACAAAATGACATAAAAAAACATTACTTTTCGCTTTATCTAATATTTCAATGAATAAAGACTTAACGAATGCTCACGTCGCCTCGACAATATCGTATTGTGATACATATGAAAAAACGATAACGATCGTTAAGAATTAAGAGGATCATGTGCGATCTCGTAAATGTTTCCACTTTATCATCGATTGTTCTTCCCGACTCGCGTCACACCGCGTCGAAGTCGTCTAATCACCGTGTTATCTCTGTTCGATCTGTTCGAATTTAGGTGGCAATCTCTAGACATTTTTAATTAAAAGAAAATCGAGGAAAAAATATCGTGATCGATACAAATAGTTGATAACAATCAAACGTTCATTATCGATATATACCTATTTACACGCGTGTAAGTAACGATACGTATACGATCGGGAAAAAAATTTGTGCTGGATTTTTCAGAAATAAGAAGTACGCGTAAATACGTGCGTATCTTTTTGCTATATTCCGCACAATGCGTATTTGCAATGAAATTTTTCTTCTTACGATAGAGTGCGTTAAGGGACGTCTGACACAGATCGCGTTAAAGCGAGATCAAAACCTCTTGAAACCTCTTTAAAACACGTTTCTATACCTCTCACTTTGTTACTGGCTCGTCTTCCTTTCTCGTCTTTCCTCCTTGTTAGATTATCTTCGAGATAATTTGCTTACGAGATAAATGGATGTCGATTATATATACAAATAGAAATTGTTGTAGAGATTGAACAACGACCGCACGATAATAAATTCGGTTGTAATCGTTAACCTTCGTCCACAGTTATCTTCCGCGTGAACGAAAACAAAGGCAGAGGAGAAAGAATATTACGGACCAACGGCTCTTGAGAATAACTTAGCTTTGATTATCTAATTGGTATTGCGTGCAAATAGAGTAGAAACCACGGAGTAGCAAGTTGACGGTAACGGTATGGAATATGACGAAATCGAGAAGAAACCGCAATCTATTACGAGTCTCGTGTCTCGTAACTCCACGCAATTCATTTCCACGGAATCGATCGCGTACGTGATCATCGCGTTCGTCTCGACCCTATTGCACTCCACGAGGCTGCAATAACGCGCGAGTGTGACAAAAGACAGAAATCAATCATTCTTTTGTTTACTGGTTAGATTCAAAGACAAGGCTGTGTACGGATATGGGACGAGCATTCCACCGAATAACACTGAGACCGATGAGAACGAAGAGACTTCGTCGAAAAAGGTGATCTTTTGCGTGCACGGCAAGCTTTCTGGCTGTTGCACCGTCGCGAAAGGCGTTACATCGATCGAGGAAACAGCACCTGCAGCAGTTGTCGATGCCACAGCCACTGCTACCGGTGTCGGTAGTGCAGATTTCCAACAAACTTTATCCAGTAAGAATCACCGAGAAACGGAAGAATCTCTGCTAGATCAATGTTCGATTGAAAATTGATCCTAATCAGTCTGTTGTTTGTGTTCTTCGTTATTTTGTAGTTCCACCTGAAGACCATTGTCACCGAGAAAGAAACGAGGAGATCGATAAAAAGGCAAGGAAGAAATTACTGCTTGCTAGTACGCTGTGTGTAATTTTTATGATAGCAGAAATCGTAGGTAATGCATCATACATAGACATACGCGTGAACATACGACATACGTATTTGCTTGAGAAAATTATTCTAGTTAAATAAATGAAAACGAACGATAGTTTCTGTCATTGATGAGATTAAAACGAACGACGAAACGATCCCTTAACATTTCAGGTGGAGTGCTGTCGAATAGTTTGGCGATCGCAACGGACGCTGCTCACTTATTAACCGACTTCGCATCGTTTATGATCTCTTTGTTCTCGATATGGGTAGCGAACAGACCAGCCACGAAAAAAATGCCCTTTGGCTGGTATCGAGCAGAGGTAGGTGTTGAAAGCACCTTTGCTTCTTCAAACTAGATTACCATTATCTATCGTCTATCGTTTATTATCCTTGTCTCTTCTTCTTTTTTAACACACATACATACACACACGTATAGAAATACGCCAATGATGCAGCTTTCGTTGTTCACAGGTAATAGGAGCCTTGACGTCGGTTTTATTAATATGGGTGGTCACTGGAATTCTCTTTTACCTAGCAGTCGAAAGAATAATTAACAAAAGTTTCGAATTAAACAGTACAGTTATGTTGATCACCTCTGCTGTTGGCGTTGCGGTAAATCTAGTGTTAGTGATACATTATATTCAATCGAAAGATTAAATCGATTGCATCCACAACGTGTGTAATACATTTTAAGTAGCATTAGTCCAACTTTCGTGTTGCAGAATGGGTTTGTCGCTGCATCAGCATGGCCACAGTCACGGACACGATTTACACAAGTCGAATCAAAATATAGAGAACGAGGAAATCGACGAGGAAGATCTTCGCCGCGATAAAAGAAATATCAACGTTCGCGCTGCTTTTATTCACGTTTTAGGGGACTTCATACAAAGCGTAGGCGTCTTCGTTGCGGCATTGGTTATTTATTTCAAGGTATACTTATATACGCATACTTATGTACGCAACGGTGTATCCTCGGTGTTTTTTTTCTCACGAATGCGAAATTAATACGCAGCCAAATTGGAGCATTGTCGATCCGATTTGCACCTTCCTTTTTTCACTGTTGGTAATACTAACTACGGTTGCGATAATCAAGGACGTGATGAACGTCTTAATGGAAGGAATTCCGAAAGGATTCGAGTATTCCCAAGTGGAAAACACGTTCATGCAAATCGAAGGTGTGGTGAAGGTACACAATCTTCGTATCTGGGCACTCTCGTTGGACAAAACCGCGCTTTCCGCGCATCTTGCAATAAGTAAGCGCGTTATCGAGTCTTTTGTTTCCACTTTGAGTTGACAATCAAATCTAATCAACTTGTTTTCTTTCTCACAAAAGAACCAGGTGCTAGCCCTCACAATATACTACGCACTGCCACTAGAAATATTCATGATAACTATAAATTTTTCGAAATGACGCTTCAAATAGAAGAGTTTGATGAACGAATGGAAAATTGTAAGCAATGCAAAGCGTTATCACAGTAGCTGGAAATCTTCGGGATACAATCGAATTTGATCGCAAGAAACTCAAACTATGCGTCGTGAATTCCCAACTCGTGTGGAAGCTTTTCCAAAGTTATGCCCGCCGGCAATTGTAAAATCCACAGGGACGACGTTTCACTCTCGCAACAATTTATTCGCGAAACATGATCTATTATCGAAACAGTCATTTACTCTCTTTTTTCTTAATTTCTTTCTTTCATAACGTAGAAAATATAGCTATTTATTTTAAATGTGACTTTCAACAAAATAATTGAATAATCGTGTATGGAATAGACGGGAAGAAATGATTTATTCTGTATTTACGCTTACTAGCGAGGGAAATTGTGTAATCCTAATGAAAATAAAATAATGAAACGAGAAAATGAACAAATCAAAAAGATTGAGATTAAAAAGTTGTACAATTTATTTGTATCTTGACAATGTTTTCAAATTGAAATGTTTCGAGTTAACCCGCCAAATATATCGACACATCGAGTTATCGACGTCGGTTGCGCACTATCGGCAACTTCAGACTAAACCTTGTACAAACATATTGCGTACATAACCTCTTCGATTTTGGTTATATACCCGTGGTGGCTGTCAAAACATCTTCCGATAGTCATGTCGGAAGAAAATCCATCAAGTTCGGAAAATAATGGGAGAGATGCTTCGACGCTATCGGAATTATTCGACAAAGCGTTCGAGTCGTTTAACAATATCAATAAAACAGATGAACCTACCAACAGTTCTAAAATTCAGGTATTGGTTATCAACACAATTGCACAATACAGTTCTTCCTAGGATTTCTTCCTTAGGGTTCCTTTCCTAAACTTCTAGCGGGAGTACCCCGTTTCTTTTAGAAATTCCGCACTTGAACTGATCGTCATTCTGAAATATATGCGCAATCTCGAACGATTTTCAAATGTACACAAATAGTTTTTAGTCGTCCCATGTACACACGTAATACATGTTTTTCTATTTTTCTTGCCACATGTCAGTCTGATATCAGACGAGCCATGAATATGTTAGAAGAAGCTACGAGGCTAGTCTCCATAGTCGATATGTTTAGCCAGAACGAAAGTTTCGAAGAAGTGGCTACAGAAAACATCAAATACTTTTTACTGCCAGCGTTCCTTGGTACACTCACTACGAAAATTTGTAATACAGATGACCGAATGAACATCGTTAACGTAGCCGAGATTTATTTTGTGGACTTTTTGAAACGCGTTAAGGCTTATGGTTTGACCGACATTCACATACCGGAGATTAAACCGGAGCGCGAGAACGAAAGCGTGCCTGGGAAGGTTCGAACGAACGCGGAGTTGATTACTGAGATGGTAAGCGTGTCATTCATTTATTTGCTGTAACTATGCATCTATTACGATGCAGCGTATGTATTGTATTGCACACTGTTACCATATTGTTGCAGGTAAATCGACGAAACACGAAACTGCAGAGGTTCAAAGAGCAAAAACAGTTGGAATCGCGTCTGGAGATATTGAAGAAAAGTCTGCCCGATCCAAACATTGACGACGAAGTTAAAAGAGATTATTTCGTAACGCTTATAAAATTGTACGTGAACCTGACGATAGAAGAGTTGAACTCGTTGGCAGCCGAAAAGCCAATTTTGGAGCATATGAAAAATATGGGAAAGACCGAAACCATGTCTGCCCAAAGCGTTTCGCAGAAACGTAAACCGTCCCCGCCAAAATTACGACCGATCATTATTACCCGAAATGACGTCGAGAAGAAGGTGTTTGGAGCTGGTTATCCTAGTTTACCCGTTCTCACCGTACAAGAATTTTACGAACAACGTGTGAAAGATGGAGAGTAAGTAGAAAATCGTACTTTTAACTGTCGAAGATTAGTTGAATCTTTTAATATATTTAATAAATCTTTTAATATATTTTTCTCTTAGCTGGCCGGGTCCTTTGCAGCAACAGCATCAAACAAATTCAAGATGCTTGCAAGATTTGGCAAACAGTAGTGAAATGGATAACGAAGAGCAAGAGGACATTAAAAAAGAAGAAATGATCGAGGCAGATGATCCGGAGACCTTGAGACAATTACGTGCCATGGATGAATACAAAGATACGCATAGAAGAGGATGGGGCAATCGTGCTAATAGAAGTTGAATGGAAATACATATATATATATATATATATATATATATATATATATATATACATCAAGAATGTGCTAGCAAACAGGATTTATATTTAATTTGTCAGTTCTGTGTACAATGTTTTATCGATAACTTTTGGATGTTTACCAGATTAAACCGGACTCTTATCTTAAAGATAAGATGTGTCTTCATTTTCTGAGATCGAGGACGACAGCCCTCAAAGATAACTGTATTTGATTATGTTACAATAGTTTGGAATAAATAAAAGAATTACGCATTCGTAAAGAAGTTATTGTCCTATCTTGTCCCCTCACTCTCGTACTCTTACCCTTGCTATAAAAGTTTAAAAATTACTTCTAATTAATTTCTAATTATTAAAATGAGTGCTTTGCTATTCTTTGAATAGAAATTTCAAATGTTTATACGTGCACATTATCGAATAAATAAACTATAGAAAGAAAGCTGAGAGTCTAATTCTGAGAAGACAACTAAAAGAGCTCATAAATTAATCCTCTTAATTTATTCCTTTTGCAAATGGAAAATTCATGGTAGTGAAATGCTAGTGTCACGTAGCGACGAAACTGTGGAACTAAAATCTATTGCTGTCCTTGTCGCACGCTAGTGCGACCCTTGTCTGTAGCGACCTATAGTTCCTCGAGTACGAGTTTCGAACACCAACTTGCACAAGCCGCAAGTGGCTGTGCGCCTAGCGTCGAAGTCAACCGATATTCGATGTTAAGCAAACAGAGTGCGGAACCGCTAGGATGGG